ATATAAATTCACAAATAAACAAACAAACAGAACAAAGCTAGTACAGACAGTGTAATTACAGCTGAAACAGGCTTGGGATACTCAATGTTCAAAATGTAAAATAAACTAAACCATGTATCAACCGCTTGTAAAAAGACGATCTTGCTTCAGTGCCATTTCTCCCACAATAATGAAGGATGGATTTGATCCCAAAACTGCAGGACATGAGGGTATCGCCTTTGTTGCTCCTCCTCCTCCTCCACATCCACAATATACAGAATGAAAATTGTTAAAACCACTTGCAATTGTGTAAGATAAATTTAAATTCACAAATAAACAAACAAACAGAACAAAGCTAGTACAGACAGTGTAATTACAGCTGAAACAGGCTTGGGATACTCAATGTTCAAAATGTAAAATAAACTAAACCATGTATCAACCGCTTGTAAAAAGACGATCTTGCTTCAGTGCCATTTCTCCCACAATAATGAAGGATGGATTTGATCCCAAAACTGCAGGACATGAGGGTATCGCCTTTGTTGCTCCTCCTCCTCCTCCAAATACAGAATGACATTTGTTCCAACCTTTAAACAGAAATGTAAAATGGTAATATGCATACATAGGATTAAATAATACCCAAAAATGTATCGTCGTAAATTATGCACTTACCCACTTTGTATGGCAATGAAGGAGGACGTCAGGGTTTTAATGCAACTTTAATGCAATCTCCAAAGACCATCTTAAATAGAAAGAACAATGGATTAATCACCGAACAAGAATGGGGAAAATAAGGGGGAAAAAATCCACACTTTTCATTTGACGTTTTACTGTTGTAATAATGGATTAATGTCTGTTATATATCAATTTGACTAGCCGGGGATTTTGGAACTCTTTCTGCATGTTACGTTGTTATGATAGTGGGTGGTAATGACAGTGTGTCAGTGACATATAGAATGAAATTTAAGTTATGTAAAAACTATATATCACACTCCTAATCATGCTGTTAGACTCTATATCAGCAGGCTGTGGTTATCTGTGGTCTCATACCTAATGTAGATTGATCTAGAGTCTAATGCAAAATTCACATTACAAAGATGGCACAGATGCACTTCTGAAAGTAGCTTTTATGTGTCTTTACATACTGTTTAATGCTGCATTGCTATACAGAGAATTTTGAGCAGGCACAAGCAGCCTTAACTCAGCTATTTAAAAACACCTTCACGGTGCTCTTGTTTGTGTGATTTTTCTCAAAGGGATAGTTCACCCAAAAAGGAAACTTTTGTCATCATTTACTCACCCTCAAGTTGTTCCAAACCGGTATGAGTTTCAAAATAAGTAGATTTTGAAGAATGTGTATTTATTCATACTATGAAAGTAAAATATCTTTTGTGTACAGCAGAAAATAAAACTCATGGAGATGTGGAATAACATAAGTGATAGAAAACAGTTTTTGGGTGAATTGACCCCTTAAGGGCCAGTTTTACTAACAGCTGGAGCCAGCGCAAACCGTCTTTTGGTGGTAAAATAGTACTGTCAGTTTTTTACTAAAGACACACAGTGAAGAATTAGCACTGAAAAGGAGTGGATAGTTATTTTTTGCGCCTGACCTTACTGAATATGCATTTGTAGGAATTTCCCTTTCAGAAGCAACATTTATTGGAGGAGAGTATTCAAATGAATCAAATTAATTTTATTAACATTTGCGCTCGTCAAATTACTGGCATTTGCACCATTATTTGACACCCCCAAAAAGCATGTCTTAAACTATTTTGCGCTTGAAATGGCTGCAATTATTGTTGCTGGAGGAGGCACCGCAGAGAACATAGAGCATGTGGTAGAAGGGCGATTTTTTCCGCATGTATTAATTTATTTGGAATGCCAGAAGAACACATTGTCCGAACATATTGTTTGCCAAGCCATGTTATTTTTTATTTGCTTCAGGAAATAAAAGATGACTTTGGAACCCTCAACTAGGAGTCTCGCAATACCAGGTCTATCAAAACTTCTTGCAACCCTTCATTTTTTGGCCTCCTACTGTGGCTTATTTATTCCTTTATTCTTTATTTGCGACTACGCTAATTTGCGCTGTTCTTGGTATATTGCATTGGTCGATATGTAAATTAGATGTTGCATCTGTAGCGAATCAGCTCATGGGGAAATATGAATAATTAATCATAACTAGTTATAATTATGAATATTTAGATCCGCTGTAGATATTTAGCTGACCTCTCAGGGTCAACTGTCTGTCAATTCTAAGAACGTTAATTTCCTGGTTAAAGGAAATAACTTTCTTACTGTTCAAATCTACACAGAGCATGTAGCATAAATCTGCATTATTAAGTGATTCTAGTTATGAGCAAACAATATTTGCGACTACGCTAATTTGCGCTGTTCTTGGTATATTGCATTGGTCAATATGTAAATTAGATGTTGCATCTGAGTTCTTTAATTTGCGCATTGTTAGTAAATCACCTGCAGAGATTTCCACACCCATCTGCGCTGTTTTGGAATTGCACTCTGGTGCTAATTTGCCCTGTTTAGTAAAAATGTCCCTAAGTGTGTGTTGGTGTGCTTGTCAGTACATAATGTAAAATATTACAATTTGGCATGAAAATACAGAGCAGGATTTTCCAACCAGAAGAAATATCCAGAAGATCCTATAGGCTCTCTTCTCTATCTTGCAATATGCGATTATCTGTTGAGTCTATCCATCCCTGACATGTGGGTATAATATACCTTAGTCCAGAGCAATCTAAAATTAACAAAGAAAAAGAACAGTTAAATTCAAACATTAACATAAGAAGACGACATTTCCTACTTCAGGGTTCAAAATATAATTAAAATCTTACTTGTTATTACTTACCAATTGAAACAAAGTGAACGGAGACATTTTTTATGGTTTTGTGGGTTCCATATATTATTCTAATTAACTAACTGTTTTTAATACAGGACACCAAAAATCACATTATGAAAAATATTAAACATAAATCATTCCAAATAGCAAACAAATCAAAACAGTAGCCTACGACATTATACCAAGATTATGACTTCACATAAACACAGTACAAAAATAAATATCAACTACTTAACAAATATTTTAAACCAATTTTTAGTGTACTTAATATTTTAATTTTCACAAACTGTTACGTACAGTGTAAATACAATACAAACTGTTTTATCTTTTCAAATGTGATTATATGTTTGTGCTTTTGGAAATGGATCTTTAATTAGCCTTATTATTTTGCATTTAAGCCTCTTTTTGAGCATAAAATGTAATTACATTCTGAAAATGTAATTGTTGCATGTCCAAATATTTAGTTGTATTATCATTTATCCATATCGATTCGGGGTGTACTTTCTCCCAAGTGGTATAGTTAAGACGTATGGGGTTTTGACAGTGAAATTTTTATTAACGTTAGAAATTGTGTAAAATCCAGCATCCTGTTCAGACTCTATTATATAGTACATACAAACAGTATTAATTTTATTTAACAAGAGCGCTTATTATGTGACTATACCTTGAAACCGATAATGGTGTATTTTGATAATTGATGATAATAATGCTCCGCTCTCTTCCATGTTCAGTTCTTCATCATGTCTGAAGTAGTGTAATCAGTGTAGGTCACAGCCCTCTGTCGGTGAAAAATAATCACTACATGACTGCTCTGGTAACCAGCAACTTTCCAGAGATAAAACGTTTAATTTCTGTGTGTTTCGAAGTGTTTTAATTTTACACTGTAATTTCCAGACGAAAGGACATGTAGTTTTGAATAAAAAGGCGACATACCTTCACTCAGAGTGGACGCGACACCGGATAAAGAGGCTCCCGGTCTTCAAGACGAGCACGTTGGCCAAATATCTGAAATATATGTAAAATTTTCCCCAAAACTGTCGAGACGAACAGAAAAAGTAAGGAAACCGTGTTTTTATAGGTTTGAAATTGATCGGCTTCAGAGCGCTCGTGTCGTTAGTCAAGTCAAGAGTGCAGATAACGGCTTAAAATATCAGTCGACGGGGGAGAAACATACTCGTAGGAAAAACAGCAATATTACACTCTAAAAAATGCTGGGTTAAATACAACCCAGTGCTGGGTAAAATAGGGACAAACCCAGCAATTGGGTTGTTTTGACCCAGCGGTTGGGTTATTACCCAGAAGGTTGGGTTAAACATTTAACCCAACCGCTGGGTCAAAACAATCCAATTGATGGGTTTGTCCCTATTTTACCCAGCACTGGGTTGTATTTAACCCAGCATATTTTAGAGTGTACTGTGTCAGGGCTTAAAGACACTTTGTAACAAAAAAAACAACAACATAACGTGCACATATTAATTTACTGCTGTATCATCTGTCGCAGTTGCGCCGATCGACCGTTGGAATTTTAATTTTTAACTCAACTGGTTGCGTTGTTATAGAATTAACCCAATAAACATAGGAATAACCCAACAAAACGACCCAACATGTTAATTACAATGTAAAATGTTACAGTAAATAACCTAACGTTTTTTAGAGTGTAGTAAAAATCCAATTCCTGATATCAAAAATAAGCATTTTCACTAGTGAAAACTGAATAGTTGATATCAAGAATTCATATCCTGTGAAGGAATAAAAGTAAAAATGGCTTGCCATATCTCTCATGTGCTGCTGAATCGCAGCTCTGCATTGTGTTCTAGATGCTGTTGCTTTGATAAAAGCTCAATGAGCGGGACGAAACAGCATGTCTGCAGTTCTTTCTTCTTTTCTTTTTTCGTTTGTTTTTTCTCTTTTTTGTTATATTTTTAGGGAGAAGGAAATAAAGGAAGACAATCCCCTCATCTCTCATTTCTGCACAGATAATACAGCTCTGTCTGAACTCACTCTGAACCTTAAACAGTAAAACACTCTCACTGGGAGCATGAAATCATGATATTATTTCAGAAACAGCATATTTGATATTTTTAGATCTGACATTCATGAGGGTATCCCAGATCAGACTGTTCTCTGCATCCCTGTTTTATGATCAGGGATAATTGAAAGAAGCAGCAGTGGAGGCTGGAACTATAATTTTCACTAGTGATGCTGTTTACAGGCAGAAAACTGAAATATGTCCAATACTGTCCTGTATTACATTAACCTCCCCACAGAATTCACACGTATGTATGATGTGTACAGCACACTGTAAAGCTGAAATCTAGTGTTTGTGCTTTAAAAATACAGAATAAACTTATACAGTTGAGTAGTTAAAGTTTTGTCTCATTTAAGTGTTTGAGATCGCAATACACATTTAATGTGTTGCAACGAATCTTGTATTCTAACACACTGCAAATGCATGTATGCTTACCAACCTGATCTTATGAGAAAAATCTATACATTTTACAAAGTTGTGTTTTTTAAGAATTTCTATGATGTGATTCGTTCGGAAACATATGATTTTTAGTTTTAAAAATGTATGGATATAACCCCACACCTAAACCAAAGACGAAAATGTGCTAATGAGATTGTACGAAATCAAAACAAATTTGCCAGGGACGTGCACAGACATTTTGAGGGGCAGGAGCTCAAGTGGAAAAAAGGGCACTTCTCATATTTATTTTAATTTTTTCTAAACAAAACGTTAAATATATTAGGGGGTGTGCGATATTAACAAAAATATCTATATCGGTATTTTCTGGGATTTTATCGATAATGATAATTAGACGATATTTTGCTTGTGCTGAATGCTAATTTTATTATATTTTGATTGTGCTGATATCTTAAGGACTACCGTGGATAGCTGACTCCTAAAGTTTTTGATATTCTGCATGTTCTGTGTGGTGATCAGTTCACAGCAGTGATAGAAATTAATCTTTTCCAGTAAGTTTAAATATATTTTTTACCTTTTATGGGCATTTTTACCTTTTTAAAGCCCTTTTTTCTTAAAGTGTGCATCATCTTTTCAGTCAAATTCTTAAATTGAATCAGTCAGTTAATAAAATTAGTCAAATTAATCTTTGCAATGCAGAGAAAACACAAAAGCTGCATTAGAAGGGGCATTTAGATGCATTTACACACTGTTTAATGTAGGACATGAATGTATTTAACCTGCAGTTACAAATGCATTAATACTGCTTTGATATTTTAAACATAAAACGTTGAATACTGATATTTGAAATTGTAAAAAAAAAAAAAAAAAAAAGATACTTTAAATGTGAACGCCATTAGGTGGCAGCAAGTCACTGTTAAGTGAGTCATTGCGACTGAACCGAATCATTTAAACAGTTGATTCATTCAGGAACAAAACAGAGTCAAGTTGCTCAGAGACGCAAATTGGAATTATATTTGTTGGCAAAATAGAGCAAAAACAGTCAATATTGTGTCTAAAACGTAAGTGTCTTAATATTAAATTCTTGTTTATTGAACTGCTGTATAAAATCAATACCACATTTGTAATCATGCTGCTTTTTGATGGAAAAAAAATGTCAGTCTTCGCGTGATACTGATTAACTATATGAAATGATATAAATATATACATTTCTGCCTCCATATCTTGAATTTTGTGATCATTCTAAATGCATTTTAATAAACTGAATCATGCAGTGAAAGAACGCGCACTGGTCTAACCCACTAGACTTCCTATTGCCTTAACTACAACTTAAGTTACATGGTAGCTCTCATGAGTCATGGATGTTAGCAAGACAAATTCACTATAATTGTATTTTGGATAATTAGCTGTAAATTCGAGGCACAGGTAGCTTAGACAAACACAACTGGAAAGGGAGGGATGGGCTTCACTTCTGCGGCTCTCTTCCTGTTAGTGACTGATGTGCCGATGCTACACTGCTGTGCTGCGGAGACAAGGAGGGAGAAAAGCATTTCCTGACCCGACCTGATATTTAGATTTTTTTTTTGTTTGACAGGGAAAGCTGTGCCAAACAGAAACACACACACACGCACACACACACACACACACATATATATATATACCTATATTCATTTATTTAAAAAAAGGGGCAATTTCTCTCGAGGAAGAAAAAGGGAAGGTGCTCAAGTTGCCTTTGATGTCTATGTGTGCACGTGCCTGAAATTTGCCATCAATTCGACAAAACGCAAAATAGCGACAGTGTGTTAATGCTAACTTAGGATGTCAGTTAACCATGAAAACAGTCCAAATAAACATCAAACACAAGTGTGTGTGTGTGTGTGTGTGAAGAGAGAGTAAGTGTGCTTATTTATGAATAAGAGAAAGAAAAATAAACAGAGAGCGAGAGAGAGAGAGAGTAAAAGACAGAGATTAGCCGTCACACGTTTTGAATTCCACCGTAGGCTGTTTCACTCTTGTGTCGCAGCTCTCTAGAGCTTCTGCTCATCTTTATGTTTTTAATTAAGATGCCATTTTTTAATTCAAACTGTTTCTCTGCTTCAGTCTCATGCGAATCATTTTCATATAGAGTTAAACACGGCTAATTATTTTCCAGTGTAGATGAACTCAAAGCGTCAGAGTGGGCGGGGCTTTTGCTCACCTGTCATATTGAATTGACACATTCATTGTAGAGTTGCCAAGTCTGCTTGATATCGCTACGCGACTTTGGGCTTCTTTTTTTGTAAAGTTGCGTGCAAAAATTCTGGGTTGCAGTTTTATGGGTTTATTTTTAAAAATATGGTTGCTTGTTAGGAAAATCTGACGAGCAACTTCGTTTCTTTTCATTTATGTTCGCCGTATTCTCCAATGCATTGATTGACACTCTGTCTGCTCACAGTTATAGCCAACCAGTGTAATAATAGTGCTGTAGCGTAATTTGTCAAATATTCCGCCCCTCCTCATGCGCCTTCTTTGTGAATGTGATTTTTCTTCAATGAGGGATTGAAGAAAAATCACGGCACGTGACGCTATAATCCAAGTGATGATAATAGTAGTAGACGTAGAGGAGTGGTATGACTTTCTTTCATAAGGTAGCCTAATTTTTTATTTTTACAATGTTTTTGTAATGTATTAATTATCATGGGCTGTAATAAAAAACAAGTAGGCCTATATTAATACTAAGAGTATATACATTTGGTTCAAATAGCCAATATTTTAGTAGGCTATAAATACGTGGCTGTGTTACAGCTCCCCTTTGAAGCTCTTGTGTTTTTTCTCCTTTTCCATCTCTCCAATCCTGTTCTGCTCACTGGTGATTGGAGATGAGTTTTGTTCCTGCTTTGTTGCAGTTTGCTGAATTTTGTAAAATAACTTTTCCTTTTCAGATAAAAGGGTGGTTTCAGTTTAATATGTTGCAGGCTCATTTATTGGTAATAAATAATTGATAATAAATCATATTAATGATAATAAATCATCAAAAAATATTGGGCTTGTTTTTGAAGCTGCGGTTGCTTGCGAGAGTTGGCAACAGTGATTCATTGTGAATGCATTAGATCAGTCCTCATCCAGCACTATGTCATATATTAAAAGGTCTGTCTGTGCTCTAATAACTCGAGCTGGTGGCAAAGTGCCGGTGTCTGATAAATCACATTTGTATCTCGTCGCTTGCTCCGACTGCCTGCAGAGAACTGATTAGTGGACGACAGGCTCTGTTTTTTATTGTATAAGTTTATCCTTTGGCTCTCTGGGGCTCAGGACCACCTCTCTCTCTATACTGGCTCATTTTAATGTCAGATGCTGTAGCAGTGGATTGTTAGTAGATTTGCCTCCTCCAGCGATGGGGTTTATATGTCACAGACGCTCAATCACGGTTAAATTTCCATCTCATTTCAGCCTCTCAGATTAAATGATGCTGCCAGAGCCCTTCATATGCAGTTATTCAGCCAATAACACGAGCCTATTAGAGGCTGATGCAGCTGATGTTTAGTTTTCTTATTTTCCACCAAATGGGGAGGTGACATTCTGCCCTCTGGGTTTGAATATGATAGGAAAGTGAGGCTTCAGTTCTTATACGTCACATGCATTTCAAACCATTAGACATTAAATATAAGTTACACATTGAATATGAGGATAAATGTCTAAATGAATCACGTCTGTTGGCTGGTGTTTTATTCTCTCCTCATTTATAAAAGACGGCGTCTGTAAACACATAGGACACTGGGGATTTCACACTCTCGCTCTGAATACTGAATATTTTAATTTTGCCACTCAAAACAGAGGGTTTCGAATATTCACATTGGAGCAGTTTCCAGTTCTACTTCATTTAGTTCTGGTTTACTGAGATTCAGGATAAACAGTCACATTTGTTTTATTAGCTCAAACAAGAAGTGTGATGATGGCTCTGTTCCAGAACCTAGTGAGCTTTCTACAAAGACAGCTGCCTTCTAAGGAAGAATCTTCATTGAAATTAAACCTCATTAAGTGGCTGATTTGATTGGCTGTATAGGCATTAACTCAGTTAATGTAAAGTACATGACGAATTTGGTTCTCATTGTTTAACTCTCAGAGTTTGATGTTAGCATGTTGATAAGACAAAAATGAAATTATGTAATAAGCACATAAAAGACTTAATAGTGGGTGCAATGTTTATTTTTATTCATACTGTGCCATTTTAAATGAAATATGTTTATAATAAACATTTAAATATTTAAATGTACTTAAAATTACACTTTTATAAATCAAAATATGGCCAATTTAGTCCCACGGAGTATTGAAATTGTTCACTTACAACTGTACTACATTGATATTACTACAAAGTACATTTGCAAAATGTACATAAAATGTACTAATACACTTCTTTTTTGTAAGGGATTTTAAACCATGGTGTTTATGTGGGAGGTTTGAGTCTGTGAGCCATATAATATTTAGCTTGTGCTAAAATACAGCCTAAGGACTTCTTTTCTGTAGTTTTCCAGTTGAGAAGGCAATGACCTTTGCCCTGCAGTCATAAACCAGACAGACCTTGTCTGAATCTCCTTTTTAAATGTCAATGAAGGACACTTATACTCAATTATTCAGGCATTTACTATAAGTACAAGACTTTGAAGTTGTTTGAAGACTTCGTCAATAATATATAATGCAACTTAAGGTTGGTTTATAATGATGCCATTGAAGGTTTTCTCCTTTTTCAAACGCCCCTTATATACTGCAGTATAGTGGTATAGTGTGAACTCTTCCCTGCACGACTTCCTCCAGAGTATCTGTTAATGAAGCAGGTGGGCTGCAGAATCCCTCGGTTTAGCTTTCATCTCACAGACATAATTGAGCGAAGGTCTCACGGTTCGTACCGTTCATTGACATTCTAGTGTTGTTGAACTATCTGTGTCGTTCTTCAAGATTTCACTATACCAATCCATTTGCTTGGCAAAGCTCAGTCTTTTTAAACGCAATAAATGACGTGATGTGACTCACTATCCTGGTTCACTGTCATTAGCGTCAGAACATCTGATAAATCAGAAGAGGGCAGAAAAAGTCAGTAAACCTATGGGAAGTCACTTGATGTGTGACTAGCAGAAGGTTCCTCTGAGAGCAGAATACCAGCTGTCTCTCTCCACACTATCAGTCCATGTGTCTGAGTCACAGATGAACGTCCCGTTAGCTTTGAGCTGCTGTAATGATGTCATGTTCAGATGAAAGAGGTCTGACTCCTACAGAGGTTTGTGTGCTGCAACAATGAGATCCGGCGTTCAGTAGCACATCTGCTTGACGGCCTCAGAGTCTGGAAAATATTCAGCCCATTTAGAACTGCAGTGTTGCATCTCTTCCATTCAATAGCCCTGTTTTGCACACTGTCATCTGCACACAATGGCAGGGGTCATTTGGATTCTTTCTACATTCCAGATGGGATGTTTCATAATCGAATCCTTATTTTTCTCTGTTCTGTTCATTTACGGTGTCCTTGGCGAAGTGCCCTGGTATGAATGCTGTGAAACAAAATGTGCTTTAATTGTGTAACTGTAGGTAACTGATTATTTAAGCCACTATTAATCATAGTTCAGAAGCTCCGTTGGGTTCTCACTGTTCTGTGAAGCCTTTTGTGAACAACTTTTCTGTTAAACCAGACTGTTTATTCGCACTTCTACTTCTGAAGAGCACAAGGTATTTTGTATGCTTTATTGGACTTTTCTAATAAAATGTGTTTGCCACTAGATGCAATATGCTTTTGCAGATATTGGATGAATAGGAGGGTGGATTGTAATATATTTCTTTTCTCTAAATTTAATATTTTGTCCAAATAAAGTTTGGTTTCAGAATACCCATAAACACTTTTCTTGTACAAAACAACAAAAAAATGTTTTTATTCTTCGCCAGTGAACATAAAATCTGTCTTTGTATATGGTCGCTCTGTTTTTTCTCTTTGGATGAGTGATTGTTCATTTCTCCAACTTCTAGTGGTTTGGGGATCTAGTCACACCGGTTTGGTGGGAGGACGTTTGGCTGAAGGAGGGATTCGCTCATTATTTCGAGTACATCGGTACTGATTTCCTCTTTCCAAAGTGGAACATGGTGAGTTGTTGCGCAGAAGTGAGCGCTATAGTATTCAGTTCATTTCATGCATTGAATCATCCATCACTTTGAACTGATGTGATGTGACACAAAAGATTTGTCTCATACACACATACTCATACGCTATATAGAGAGCGTTTTGATGGTTTTCATGCTATTCAGATGTGAATGCCTTAAAATGAGGGCAATTCTTCAATGATTTTCACATACACAAGATCTTGAGCATTTCTTTTTGTGCCAAGATTCAACTAAGCAGAAAACAACAATCCTTTCACAGTTCATTTGAGTGCTATAGATACTCTGATTGCTCAATATTACCTGTTAAATGTTGATAACAGTTTCACAAAACCAAGAAATTCCACATTTTATGGACATTTACTACTTGTTTAACCTGTTTCATATTAAATAAAAGAACAGGACGCAATTCCAGTTGTTTCTGACCAGGTATAAAAGCTTCCCACAGTTCCCATATATCCCACAGTAACCATCCTGCAGTTCTTCTAAAGGCATTTTTCTACATTAGGATCTGGATATCAGTATACATTAAGTGTATATCGATGACTGTCAATTTAATTATTGTAGCATGTAACATACATTATGATGCTACACACAACACATTTTCTTGTTTGTTACCTGCTCAATGTCTACATATCTCTTACATTTCTTAATAAAATCCACTTTCAGGTTTGTTAAAGAAACACAACCTGATGAAATAATACAAGGACAAACAGTTCTCCCTCTACACTGTAAATAATATTCCATAAAAATTACGGTAAAAAAAACGGCAGCTGTGGTTGCCGGAATTTTACCGTAAAAAATACGGTAGCGACATTTTAAGTTTTAACTTAAATTTACAGTTAAATACCATAATTTCATTAACTGATATAATGTTAATGTACCAACCTATTGAAGTACTGAAATCTGTTTTGTATATACTATTTTGTCATATGATGAACCAAAGCCCATCATAAGCAGCTTTTTCATAATAACATGTATAGAAGGTGCACAGTGTCATTCACACAAATGCTAAACACCATCATGGTAACACACATAAAACTGAAATAATGCAATAAACATTCATTTAACAACATTAGGTGTAACACACAACCCTAATATACAAAACTGATAAGACAAAACTAAGAAGAAACATAGTTATTTCAACAAAAAAACATCAAATTTGAAATGTAATGCAGGGAATTCTGGGAATGTCAATTTACGGTTACTTCCAAAAATGGTATACTACCGTAAAATTAATGTCCAATACATCATTTAACAACATTAGGTGTAACACACAACCCTAATATACAAAACTGATAAGACAAAACTAAGAAGAAACATAGTTATTTCAACAAAAAAACATCAAATTTGAAATGTAATGCAGGGAATTCTGGGAATGTCAATTTACGGTTATTCACTGTAAATTATACGGTCTTTTTCACTTCCAAAAATGGTATACTACCGTAAAATTAATGTCCAATACATGTAATGTCCAATACAGTTTTTCACCGTATTTAGTAGGGGAATTTACCGTTAACCATTTAACAGGTTTTTACTGTAGCATTTTTACAGTCTTTTACCATTAAATTCAAGGTCATTTTTTACAGTGTAGATCTGCTTTTGTTTGAACATAATGGTGTTAGCAATTAGCATACTGCTATTTCAGTCCAGGCTTAGTTGCCTGTAATGCAGCTATTGTGACGCACTTGAGGCCTCACTTGTAAATGAAATGAATACACAGGTCATCAGCACAGCAAAACAACCTAGTTTTTCTATGTTTGTGACACTTTGAAATAGCAGTCGTGCTGATAAAATCTGTTTGGATCTTCAGGTCAATATGAGTCACCGACTGTGTGCAATTTTATCATGAGCAAGATTGTTGTGGGTTGTTGGTCATGATTCAGACCTGATGTGTGGTTTAGACTGGACATACAGTGTAAACTAAAGGCAGTATATACCAAGTGCTAAAGGCAGTCTCAAGCTATTTTTTTGCTAAACTGTTTACACCAAAAGTTTACTATTTAAATTGTTTCATTTTTGTTCATACATACAGTATTTATATTAATATGTGTGTGCATTCATCTCATACATTCACATTCTCATTCACTTTCACATAATGACCTTCCCATCTGTCTGTCCCAGTATTTTATACCTCTCTGCTCCAAGCCACCTTGGTTACGGGGCACCAGCCAAGCAGAGAGACCGTTTAGGGAATGTCATTTCAGGGAGCAATTGGGTTTTGATGGAAACACTTCAGTATGCTGTTAGGATGACTGTAAGCATGTCCCTACCAAAATATGGATACAATTGCATGTTTCAAGAGGAAGGAGTTGAAATCAGAACTGAAAACTCATAAGTGCACAGATAAATGTTGGGAATGGATTTGACGTGGACCTGTAATAGGTCATTATATGTTCCTTGGCCTGCTCATAACTACTGGACTGTTGGTTTTCCTCCACTTTCTCACATCCATCATGCTAAAGATGCTTTGAGAGAGGTTTGGTTACTCATAAGGCATTGCTCCAAAACCGCACTTTCTCTCCACTCACTCAAACTGTGTCCTGTGCACTCACAAATCTTTCTGTGCTCATGCGCTATAGATATTAATTATTTTCGCACCTGAATTAAACGTTGTCAAAAGTTATCATTATGCGAGCATAAGAGACTTCTTCATTAAAATCTTACTGATCCCAAAGTTTTAAATGGTAGCGTACGTACATTAAACTTTGAGGCTCGTATTAGTCTGAATAATGAAGCAACTGCTCATCAGAAAATACTAATGAGACAGCGGTCACACAGTGTTCTCTTCTACAAGTCCACTTAAGTGATTATATAAATAGCTTGAGAAATTAGGACACTGATTTCTCTAGAAGTCTCTACTTTCTCCAAGATCTTCTCTCTGAAGTTAAATATGAGGGATAAATTATTGCTGCAGTTCATTAAGAAAAGCATATTTCAGTTTTTTTTTAAGGTGACCCAAATATCTAAAGGTAAATGTAATTTTGTTATAGGAAATGTTATCCTTCATTAGCTGCTGCCTAATTTAGATGTTAAGAATGAAATCATTTATTTCAAATCTGTCTGACAGACAACGTTATTTACAAATATGGTAAAAAGCCACCCAACAACCACTCAGATAAATGTTCTCTGTATTGATTTGTGGACTTTTCTCTTTTATGTGAGTTTATGAACGTCAGAATATGAGATTATGATTGAGCTTTACCAGTAACCAGGATTCACTGGGTTAATAGAAGATGCTTTATTATATTGACATAAAACTATGAATGATTTCATGAACATTTGTTTCTTGATTCACTTTCATACGTTGTTTGTTTGAGCTCAAATCCCTTGATTAAAATATCCTGCTCTCTTGGATTAATGTCTTCAACGGGATTCTTAATCAAGCTGCCAAAAGCTTTAATGGGCAAGAATTATTCATAATGATGGAGAATAAAGGTGTAATAAAACATGCACAGTGTCAAAGCCAGACGTGTTTATAGCAGCTGATAGTGTGCTGGCTCACCAGTCACACACTTTTAATAAATACATAGATGAGAAAATAATACAATTTACCTTAATTTAGTGTTGTTTTGCATTTGATAACTCAGTGCAGAGATTTCGCCAGAGAGCCCATTGTGAAGATGTTCTGGATATGAACCTGCAGTGTAATGCTTTCATATATAATCATGTGATTTTGTATAACATATTGTGTTTGTATATTTATATTATATGCAAAGGTTATTCAAAGAAAAAACTGTATAGTACCATGGTAATTTTTTTTAATTTAATTGCCTCATTGTGGTTTATTGTTCTCATTATATTATATTAAAGAGTTAAAAATCAGTTTAGACTTCCTTAAAATAAGGAACAAGCTGGTATCAGAGTAACATCTTCCTCATGTGCTCCAGAACGACTGACTGTATTTGAGATCATGACTCTCTGCTGATCCACAGACACAGTGAATGATGAGGGTCTTTTTCATCTGACCCAAAACTTCTACCTGTCTTTATACTGAATCCTACAGGGACACATTTGATCAGAGCCCAAAAACAGTGAGAGCCTACACCCACACACACACACACACACACACACACACACACAAACTGAGTGTTAGCAGCAGTGTTTCTCTCGTGAGTGAGTCGTGTCGGCTCTCGTGTGTTGGCAGTGAATGTTCATCATATCAGTGGATTGTGGGAAGCTGCTGCAGATATGAAGGCTTCAGTCATGAGAAATGTGAGCTGGATTCTCCTATAACCACTTTCTAATTTCATTTATAGAGTGATTTTTACTTATAAAAATAAAACAGAAGCTTTTATGGGACACTTTTATGTGTTTGATACTGTAAAACAGAATAAAGCCTCTGTCTGTCTGTCATCCACAGGAGAAGCAGAGGTTTCTGACTGATGTTCTTCATGAGGTGATGTTACTGGACGGTTTGGCCAGTTCTCATCCGATCTCTCAGGAAGTGTTTGAAGCCACAGACATCGACAGAGTGTTTGACTGGATCGCGTATAAGAAGGCAAGAGAATCTCTCATCAGCTCCTACAGGCTTCAGCTGCATGATGGAAATGATTATAAACCTTTAATATCGAGCTGAGCTGAACGAACTGGTTTATACTCAAAGCTGAACATTGATAAAGTTCAATGTAATCCCACATCCAGTTCTATTTTCTATAAACAGCCAGCAGAAGAGAAACAATGACTTTGTAAAACAGCAGCATTGTCGGTGTAAATCAGTCAGTTATTTATGTCAGGACTTCACCGTTAAACATAATCTTTTATTAAGTCCAGTAAACACCTCCATTTGCTCGTTATTTTTCTCCCAGCTAAAGACTTCTCAGTATATCTTTGTGAATTGTAAGTGGAGTCGTGTTGTTATAAGCCTCTTCACATACACAAGAAAAACAGTTTAATTAAAAGCTTGTTTTTTAGTAAGTCGAGGACAGAAACTGTTACACAGAGATTGTGAGGTTTTGTGTCCTCTGGGGACTTCAGCTGCACAATACACATTTCATCTCAGACCAGACGACATCTAATTACTTCTTTCTTACTGGAACACACTTTAAATAACTCCAGCGCCCAAATATATCCTCTCATCCTGAACATCTGAAAGCCATTAAAGGCACAAAGAGCAGTAAAGAAAAATCATTGTCCTCTATCAGAGTTCAAACACAAATAAAATCTTCCATCCAATGTAGATTTGAATTTCTGCTTTAGCTCTCCCTCCAGCTGTCAATCAATGCACAGCTGGATTCTGATTGGTTCTTGATGTTCCTCAAGCTCCTCCCCCTGTTTCTCTACAGGCTCTGTGGTGTTATGAGCTCTGTCAGTCAAACTGCATTGATCCTGACACCCAGCCGTCCCTCATCACTTCCTCCTCACACTCTAAGGACTCTGATATCCCACAACACATCCCATGAGTCCTCAGCGCTAACAGGAAGTGACACTCATCACACAGACTGTAGAGGATGGGATGTGGGGAGATAGGAATTAGATGCTGTCAAATGAGCATGTCAAAGTCACTCAAAGTCAAAAAGATACAAATTTATGAAACTGTAGAAATCAGCAGGACGAGTGTCATGGAGTCTCTTTTATATAAAACTTGAATACTTGAAAAAGAAGAGCTACTAGAAAAAGAGCAGGGACATTATTAATAACTGATCTTTTATTAAATATTAAACAAGTTCTGCGATGGACAAGCATGTAAAAATGTCATTTTAATTTAATTTAATTTAATTCAGAGTTGTTATGGCTAACTAAAATGATTAAAATTAAAATATTAAATAAAATATAATAAAATACACATTTTAGATGATGAATTAAAATTTTTAAAAGTTAAACAAATAATTAAATTATACTAAAACAAAAACTGAAATAAAATAAATGAAAGCTAAACAGAAAAAATACAGTTCTAAAAACGAATAGAAATAGAACTTAAATATTAAAATGTAAACTGTAGAAAACTAATTAAATATGAATTATTAAAATACTGTACTAGTATATACAGTAAATACTGCTAAAATAAGACTGAATAAATTACATTTAATTTAGATACAAATATGAGGACGTGGACTGTATTCAAAAATGCTATTTAAATAGAAAATTACAGCGCTTCAAAAATACAAGCTTCACATTTTTCATGTCCCATTGACTTCCATTGTAGGTCGATTACTGTACTTTTATACACTTCATATTTAGCATATTAAATTCATGTGTAGAGCAGGTGTAAATGAGGAGCTTTTACTGAATGTGTGTGTTTCTGTTGTGTCTGCAGGGAGCCGCTCTGATCCGAATGCTGGCTAACGTCATGGGACAGCCACTATTCCAGAGAGGCCTCAATGTAAGCCAATAGTTTTCTTTCATCTTCTCTCTTTGTGGTCACAGATGATTTCACATGTATGTATGTTTTACTCCTAATGTGTTATGAATATGTTTATAAGGCTCTCTATATGAATTATACATTCTGCATAAATGCAGCTTTAAGAGGATTGTGGCATAATACCTAAAATACTTCTCAATTATTTTTTTTTTCAAAAACTCAATCCTTGTTAAATCCTGTGAATGTGAGCTGAATGTGTTACAAATGAATCTCACCATTTAACACTTGAATATCTCAGTGAATGTTCAAGTCCCCTCAGGTTGCTCTGAGTGTCTCGTATGTTTGGGAGATTGTGCAGCCTCGTCGGTTTACATGTGTTTCTTATCTTTAGAGCTACAACAGCTTGTTGTTGTTGTTGTGTCACGTGCTGCCATCACACTTGAGGTGAAAGCAGCACAATCAGACAAGTGATTAAATGTGTTCGTGTCAGAAATTAATTTCATATCTGAAACTTTTACAATCAGAAGTTTCAGAATCATTATCTGTGTTAAACCGGTTTACAGTAATGGTGAAACACATCCACTGCATTAAAACACATATACTGTAGCTGATATTGTGTAGACGTTAGATCAGTTTGTTTATAGTCACATTGTCATTTGCTCCAGCTGAAGTGTTTTAAGTCCTCTGAAGCTCTTTCTGTGTCCGTCTAGCAGTCAGAGCTCCTCTAGAGTGAGCAGCAGATCTCATGATGCATTATTAGAGACTATTAATGGTTTTTTGGACACCATATGGCTGCTACATGAAACTACATCCTGTAATGTGGTTAAAGGTTCTGGGCCGTGAACAAACAGGTTTGAGTCCAGTGAGAGTCAATCTGTAAACGAATAAATGTAAATGTGTTAAAGGTACAAATCCCTCCTCCTTCAATGTGTGAGTTCACACAGATTCAGAGATACAGATTCTTCACCTTCACATAAATCACTTTTCTAAACATCCATAACTTCTCATTTTATTTCTTTATGCCTGAGATGCTGTAAAAAAATCTGACAGTTTCAGAGTTGTTTTCTGGGTTATTTTTTTATTGTGGTTTAATGTTGCTATTAGTGTTTGGAAGCACAATCAGGTCATGTTTTCTGCAGAGCAACCCATTTAATGCTTCATTTACTGATGTAACATCTGCACATGTGAGCTTTATATCACAGCACAAATACATGTAAGACCAGCAGACTGATGTGTCTAATGCACATATACTGTATGTGATCCATTTATCTTGAATGGGTTATAACTGTAATTAATGTGTTCGGTTTTGTGCAATAGTATAGTAAACCTGTGGTATTGTTAGCAACATCAATTTACTTTTTAAATGCAACAGCAAGATAATGTGCAGTTCTGTCTGAATTGGTTAATTATTATTTTTTCTTGTTTATTATATAGATATTTTTAAATGAAACACAATAAAGTAATTGTGATTAATCTGTAGAAAGTAGAAAAATAAAATGTATTATTGCATTTTATTATTGTTGTTGTTGTTGATTATTTTGTTAAATTCTTGTATTATTTAGCAGCATTCTTAAAATTGTTATATTTTATCATGCTGTTATTCATTCATTCATTCATCTTTAAATTCTTAAATGTTGTGTTAATTCCTAAATTAAACAGGTTTTTATTTATTTATTTATTTATTTTTCCTTTCTCACAAAAAATGTAAAATAAAATTACATTTGTTTATTCATTCTTTCATTTATTATTTAGTTTAGTTTTATTTTCCACTTTTCCTTGTAATAATCACATTTCTTCCTTTCTTCCTCAAGAAATGCTCAATACAGTGTCTTATGAACTCCTAAACTGCTCTACTGTAGATCTGAAAGTCTGAGTATTAGAAATACAACCTCACACATCTGCCAGTGATCCAGCTCTCCTTTCTCGTCTGCGGTCTGTCTTTGTCTGTTCACCGAGGCTCATTTCATTCTCTCAGTGTCTGTTTTTTTGCTCTGTGTGGCATCTCTCCTCCTTCTCGTGTCTCTGCATAATTGAAGAAGCAGACAGTCGTGAATGCCGAACAGCTCAGAAGTAGCAGACGGGCTTTAGTCTCATCCGGACCAGCATTACCCATCCCTCTCTCTTTCTCATCTTCACTGGTAAACGGTGGATGGGCTGCTGATGCAGGTGGATGAATGTCACTTATAAAAGAATAGAGGGAGTCATAAATGAGGTCTGAATGGGTTCTGGGGCTCATACATCTGACTGGAGTGATGAAGCGCTCGCGTCTCATTTACACACACTGCCCATCGCTTTTAAAACCACTTTCAGATGGATCATATTATGGGATGTAGGAAATATTCATTCCGGCTGGAAATGTGAAATGCTTGACCTATGAATAGCAGAGGACAAGTACGCTCCTGCCCTGGAGAAATAAACTTCAGCGTGTTACAGTCCATCTTCATCCTCTGGATGTGATTTTGAACTACAGGAAGCTGCTTTCCTGGATTTGGTGCTTCATAGTCCTGTTTGTCGGCTCTCAGCGGGTCCCTGACTTGGAGAATGGCAGTCTGTGAGATTCCCGACGGATGCTGTGGGCTAATAATTAGTTCTGAACACAGATGAAATAGCCAGATACTCCACGATTCAATTCCACAACATTCTGGAACACAGAGAAGATCCATTTTCCCATCTTCCTCTTCTTCTCCCAGCAGCCCCTCTGGCTCGACTGTTCCGCCTCATTATTACTGTTTTCTGTCTCTCTCTTATGGGAACTTTCAGTATCTCTGTCTGTCTCTGAGTGATTGATGGGAGGAATAGGTAAACACAGCACCGCACCAAACAATCTACCTCCATTGCCTCAAAATTACTTTCATATGCAAGAAAATTGTAGACATATTTCTTCTTGTATTACTTTTGAGGGAACTCATTTAGTTGGATGAATAATGAATTATTTATGATCTGCTTTGACTGTTGTGGTGAAGGTTCTTGCAGAAAACTGGTGTTTTAGCTTTGGGGGATTTACATATCGAAAGCGATCAATCTTTTGTCTGCCTTTGTATCTAATTTGACTTTGCAGAATCAGAAACCAAAACCGAATGTGGTTATAATATCTGATGAAGGAACGTTCAGGATATTATTCTCTCCTGGAGAGTGCCAGAGGAGTAACTAGCCATTGCTAATTAGAGTAAATTAATTACACACACAGCCATCCCACTGGAATCTGTTGAGTTATGAAGTAAATCTTTAGATCTGTTCCAAGCTGTCCATCTAGACAGACTTCTCAGAATCACAATACGCTCTTGACAACAATGCTTTTCAAAAATTAGTTATTTTGACAAAAAATAGCCTAAGGATGCATTAAAACATTGAAAAATAGTCATAAATGATTAAAAAAAATGTTGTGTAATTTTAATTAAATATGGCCTCCAAATTAAATTTTGTATGGGCTATATATTATTTTTCCTATTACAACATCAAATTAGGTTAGCAACATATGCTAACACCAGTCTCTATTGTAATTGACTATCATTGAACGTGAGAAGTAGAGAAACACTATACAGACACTATGTAAAACATCAGTCATATGAGGTTCACTTTAGGTTAGAATGCTGCTTTACACCATATGATGTTTTCAGTATGCAGACATCTGTTAAGGCATATGATTTTGCTGTCCACGTGTCTCTCTGTAAGAGGTTTTGGTCACTACAGTCATTAAAATACACAATTTTATGCCAAGCAGACTGGAAGATGTCAACACCAACATAAAATGGCTCTGGGTGGTCCCTCGCTGCTATGCAAATGTATGTAAATGAGAAGTGATATTTCTTACTGCAACATTCGAATTCAAATTCTCGCAGCTTTTAGATCTGCTGAAAGAGACTAGACAATGGTTAAATATACAATTTATCACTCGTTATAGAACAGATACTGTATATACAGTGGGTACGGAAAGTATTCAGACCCCCTTAAATTTTTCACTCTTTGTTATATTGCAGCCATTTGCTAAAATCATTTAAGAAATATTCTTGCTTTGGTAGTCAGCAGAACACATCAGTGTCAAAATAATGACAACACACTGTGACAGCCCTATCAGAGGCGAGATTGGACCACATTGTCACTTTGCTTCAGGGCATTAACTCTGATGGAGGAGAGAGAGAGAGAGGAAGAGGAATTGATCTGGTTTAAAACAGATTCATCAGGATGGTAACATGAATCTGGTTCTGCTCCAGACTCAAATCCCAGACTCTCTGAAAGCTCAGCAGAGCATGTAGAGAGATGAAGGCCAGCTGGACTGGGTCATGCTTTCAGGATCCCAATGCAATTTGCTCAGACCTCTCAGCATGACGCCTGTTCACGTTTCAACAAGTGTCCGTTTTGACTCAATTCATGAAGCAAAGGCTGAAATAATGGCCTTATTAAAGGAATAGTTCATCCCAAAATGAAAACCCTGCCATCATCTGCTCACACTCATGCCATTGCAAATCCTTTTTTTCAGTTATTCACTTAAAATCTACCCCTCTTTAAGAGCCAGTGAAGTGTGTCTGCAGTAATGGTATTGAGTACTGGTATTGTTGTTTAAAACTGAAAAACAGACCCTTTTGGTCGGTTTATTACACAAAGATAGCTTATGACTTAAGAAGAGTTTAAATACATTAATATAGGCTATGTTTTTGGCGTATTGAAAAGAGCAGCCTGGACATTCTGCAAAATATCTCCATTTGTCTTCTACAGAAGACATGCACCAGTTTTAGCAGGGAACATGCAGTTTTTTGTCAGCATGTTCTCTTGACTCCAGCAACAGGAAGCGGATTACAGTTGACGGGTTTATCACTCACGGTCACTCAAGAGTTATCGAGGAATCTCGTATACAGCAGCCAAGAGGCTTCCCACCAGATGTTCTTATCAGATGCATGTAAATGTGCTCTCCAGGATCAGACTCTTTCTTCATGTCGCCCACCACCTGTATCACTGAGACTGCAGGGCAGAACAGAAGCACTGATAATGTAATGTTTGGCGTTTTCTATGCAGATTTGTCTGTGTTTGATGTCGAGGCACTTTTATTATGCACCTTGCTGAGTGTAAGGTGTTTCCTTTCTTCACAAAACTCACTTATAATTAGTCGTTACTTATGAATAAATGTTCACCAAATTTACCAGACTTTTTAGGCATGTACTTTGGTAATAACAGATAAGTCATGCATGGCAAGTACCTTGGAGTGACATGTAGATACTGTACTGTAACTGATACTGTAACTACTGTATGGTGTATGAATATGATTATTATATGCTACTACAGTGCTTTTTTTGTAAGAGTATTTACATGTTTACTCATGGGATAAATCTAATGTTTTCTCCTGTGCTTATTTTAATGTAAACAATTTGACCATCTTTTATGTCTTGAAAGAAATCATGTTGCTGATTTGTATGTTACTCATTCAGTGACATGCTGATACAGCATCAACTTGAACAACATAATGAGCCTCTAATTGGCCTCCTTATGGTCCTCCTTGAACTGACAGCCAATCACACCCAGACATCTGCTGCTAATTTGCATACGTTCAGCTTGAATTGAGAGGATTAGTAATGTTATTGTTTGGGCTTATTTGGTTTCCCAAATTCACCGTTCCCGTCCAAGTCCAATTTATTTCTCTTCCAATATTGATCTCCGTCTCTGTCTGTTTGCAGGATTACTTGATGACGCACATGTACGGGAATGCAGCAAGAGATGACTTGTGGAACAAATTCTCAGAGGTGAGACTTTACGCATCTTCTAGGTGTGAGACCTCCATCCACGAGCAGGAATCAGCGCTGGGGTCAGTCGGTGTTGAGCGGCGAGTGAAATTGTGTGTGTAAACCTACTTTAAATCACCCAGTGCATCTCCTGCAGGCAGGTGTTCAGAGATTCATGCGCTGCATATAGGTCAGAGGCCATTATATAACTGCACATCATCAAATTTATGCCAATACACCACCTACTCACATCAACGCACAAGGGTTTTATGGAAATGCCACATGGGAAAGAGTTTGATATGGAGGCTGGGTTGTGTTTGATAGTCTCGCTTTTACACTTGCGGTTTCACTTAGAATGGAAACGATTTCTACAAACGCAGGTCAAATATTGATCCAGAAATCTGATCACTGAAACCTGCTAAAAGCAAATGTTCACAGATACTGGTAATCTGTGCAGCTTGCTGCTGCTGATTCTGGTGATTTTAATTAACTTATAAATTAGTTGTATCTTATCAGACCCGATTAGTGAAGTGTCACATAATTGCTGACAAGCCTGATGAGTCTCTCAGATTAAACATGAGCATCTGCCCTTCGGCTCAGGTGTAGCCAAGAATAACCCAAGAAAAATCTTCTGCTGAAGGAAAGTTGACCTATTTAGATGTTTCACTCGGGCCTCAAAAATACAGTTCTTATTAGGTTTGGTACGGGTGCCCCCCTCCTGACAGAAACACTCAGGTATTTTTCCCGTGATCTGCCGTTTCAGTTTCTCTGTATTTTGTAGTACCATAGAGAGTTTAGCAACGGTATTGTTCGTGGCGGACTTCATTTCCCATAATCCCTTCTGTTCAGTTACCAGAACAACAAATGCTGCAATGCTAATGCAAAGTTCCTAAATTTAATTATAATAAAACCTGTTTAATAAAACAATTATTTTTATAATTGCACACATATTGAAAACAAATACTAGGATTGTTCTGTTGTTTCATTATAAGCCATTTTTTCAGCATCAACCGAACACCCTTCATGGATGGAGGTATCAAGTAAGGATATCCCACATATGAAATGCAGCTTAAGATGAAATTGGTCAGATGACGATATACATTTAGGCTGGTTGTGTGGTGCTACATTATGCTAATATGCTAGCTCACCTGTGCAGTGCAGTTGTAAATAATGCAGACAGCTTAAGAAACTAAAAGTAAGAGCGAGAGGAACTGCTAGCACCTGTGAAGTAAACGGTCGTAGCCAACAGCTATAATCACAGTGAAGTTAAGCATTGGGTTCAAGTCATCAGCTCAAAGCACAGAGATGTGCTTTTAAAACCAGAGGACTCTCAGCAAGTCCCCTCTCGCTCATCTCACAAAGTGTCATGACTTTAATGAGATTACTTTCAAGTGTAATCTCAAAGTTATTATAGTTTGTAATGGAACAGCAGGACTTTTAGCAGCTATCAGCGTCGTATGAAGCGTTTTGTCATTCACATCACTCTCCCAAATTCTGGCTGATGGGAGCCGCTTCTTCATTTTCTCTTTCAAAACAGAACGGATTTAAAGGTGAATTTATGTGAAAGGGCCAGACCTGGACCTCCGTATCCTCTCAGTGGCCGTGTTTGTCAGGCACTGACGAATTTAGCTACATTAACAGTCCATGACAGCCCATTATCTAATGAATACTGATATGCACTGTGTTCATTAGCTATTCATGAAATCCAATTTGCTGCAATAATCTGGCAGTGCTTAGCGCCCATAAAGCCCTTTGTCAAGCTCACGACCCATCGCCGGACCGGCCTTCACTTCCTTTAATTATGTCCGCCAGGGCAAAGGTACAGTAGCTTCCTGAAAGCTGTCCTAAAGAAAATGATTCATAATTTTAGGAACATCAGCTGCCGTCATCAGCCTCTGCAGAGCCTCTTCTATATTCAAACCATGAGTCATTGAGAGCTGTGAGAAGTCATCTGGTCTCATTCAGTGTTTTCCATAATAGCCGAGTCATCTCATGCAAGCTTGGTTAGTCTCAGATTTGAATACTCATATGGTCAGAATCATCTAAGCAAGAGTTTCCCAGTTACACTGGAGAATGGGAGTTGCACATGCTCGAATGATCTAGTCAAGTTGATGTTTGCAGAATTCAAGAGAGCCTGACAGAGCACTTTTGTTTCTGCCACCACATTCCCCTTCCAATCCCACGGGTCTCCACCACACACTGACTCTGTGCTGCTGCAGAAACATTGTAAATCTCCACTGGTTTACAACCAATTTCATACAAAAATATCGAGTGGCCTCTGCAGCTCTTTAGGATTCGAAACCTCAAAATACTGACTTTGCATTGTCGGTGCTTGAATGGGCGATGAGGCATTTCCAATGTTTTGCAGTCACCTACTGTACCTTTCTTTTTAAATGGATACAGCAGCTCAAGGTGAAAAGAAGGTGAAACTCCATAAAGCTTTAAAATGTTCCTCATACATACAGCTTTTGAAAACAATTCATACAGAAAACTGCCAGTTGTCCACCGTACTGAGCCATGTATATAGCATTTTCAAAGAATAAGGAGGAACTGTGTAGGCAGTATATTTCCCTTAGGGACAAAACAGGGAGCTTTCCTCATTAATGAACCGTGAGATCCAATTTTATATTTTACTTCTTTAAAATAGGAGGAGCAGCTTCCTCTGAAGAACTTATAAACCTAGCTCTACTCTTTTACAAGCGTTGCTCTTGTATAGAGAGATTAGATAACTGGAAATTGCCTTGTGATGTTTCTGCGTATGCGGTTTAAGAGAACGGTGAAGTTGAATCACCTTTCTATTCACTAAGAGTTTTTAATTAAAAGACCTGGAGGAGTTTTTATTTACATCCATTATAGTTTTGAAAGACAAAGAAAAGTTTAATCAGTTTAGATTCATGTATCTGCAATTAAAGACATAAAATCTGAATTTATTTTCACTCACCTGACACTATCTGACACAATATGTTTTCTTTGCACCTTCTATTGCCGTTAGACACCCAACATGGTGATCTGTATATGTATGATGTATTTTGATCTATATATTTTGTGTCAAAGGCCATGCAGCGGGAGGGAAAGGACATCAACATCACGCAGGTCATGGACCGCTGGACCCTGCATATGGGTTACCCTGTCGTCACCATTAGCAAGAACGTCAGTCTTGACAACAGTGTCACCATCTCACAAGAGCAGTTCGTCTATGACACCGACGCCAAGATCCAGAATCCTGAGCTGTTCAACAAAAGGTAGTCTGCCATATGTCAATCGTGACAGGTTGTTACATGAAAATGAAACACCATCAGTCAACTGACCACTTGACATTGATTCTCCATGAGCTCATACATCGTTGCAGAAAATCCACAATAATATGTGGAGCAGAGGCCTGTACGTTTGCCAAACTCTGCAATGCTGAATAATGCAAAAATCCCACAGTCAGTGATTCTCCTCCCAGAATTCACTGATAGTTTCCTGTGATCAGATCAAGCTCAGACTGAAAAAAAGATCCTAGTAGTTCTGCAGCTGATGAGAAGAAGAAACTATTTTGATTAAAAATGAGATTAAATATTAAGTTATTTTGGAAGAAATACGGAAGAATAGACCATCTGGAGATTATAAGCACAGCTAGACAGCTAAAGACTAGCCTAGCGCCCGACAACAGCATGAAGACCCAAAGGATTTCCTCACTTATCCGAGGGATGTGAACAGTTTACTGCTTAGCATACCTTTAGATGTCTGCCTTTATTGATCCTGCTAAGAAAAACAGCTTTAACCAGCCTAAAATGGTTTGCTGGTTTTCACTGGCTATTAAGCTGCTATTAACTGAGCATTTCATTTATTATTAGCGACCCATGCTAACCCGTCATCGCCACATGCTGTTTGGCACTTGTCTGCGTCGTCACGGAAAACTGCATGTGTCACTGGCAGATAGATTAGTTTAATTCTTTGTTAGAGGGAGATGAATAATTCAATACTGCCTCTGATCCGTTTTAGAAATCCTCCTTTTGTTTTGGACCAGACACTGTTAGCAGCACAATAACTGTGTCAAGAATTGAATTCTAATGCTGTACTGTCAGTTTGAGTGTGTGGAGTGTGTTGTTAGGCAGTATTGCCGTTTAGATAGTGACAGACTTTCTTAAGTTGAGAACAATATCAGTGCTAAACACCTGCAATTTGAGAACATGAGCTCCTGAGCTCATAGCATGTAATCTGTTTGTAATATTTCTTGACTAAAAGTGGTTAAAATGCAATCTATTACTTAGAAATAGGAGAGAATAGTAAAACTAGTGAGACTAAAGCATAAATTCTGTCATCATGAAATCATCTGATTTATCATCTGCAAATAATCAATGGCTCCTTACTTTTACGCGGCTAGGCTAACTCTCCACATCAAGCCATCTGGTGTCATAAATATGAAACATACAGGTAGAAATCTGTATGTTCACTTCGTTCCAGAGTTCATTTGTTCAGAGCAGACACAGCCACCTTCCTTTGAACGTCTCCTCCTACATTAATGTGTTTTCTGAGTGCGACGGTCTTCTGCAGAGGCGTTCAGAAGCAGAACTGCTCCAGGAATCAATAGCAAAGCCGTGTTGCGAGTAGGGGGCGTCTCTTTCCTGTTTTGCCCCTCAGGCGGGTTTTCAGCTGAGTACCAGACAACCTGCCAGAATGCAGGGGATTTGGCACCTTTGTAAATGCAGTGTAACACCTCACTTGAGGCTTTAAGCCAGCCTAGTAAAATGTGCTGACAGAAACATTGGCAGCAACAAAAGGAAAACAGAGAAGGTCAGTTTATTGTATTTCACACCCCTTCAGTGTGTTTCATGTCCACTGGTATCTCATTAAAGTTCATAGAGGGTCCACAGTATGACTGAGGTCCAAAATCCACAGAAATCCACAGAAAAGGACATTTATTTCACACCATTGTACTCAAAACACATGCTGGCTTTTTGCTGCACTTTGATATTCTGTTAGAGGGGTCATATGATGCGATTTCAAGTTTTCCTTTATCTTTGGAGTGTTACAAGCTGATTATGCATAGATAAGATCCCTGAAGTTGCAAAGACTAAAGTCTTAAAACCAATGAGATATTCTTTATCAAAGTTAAGACTCTGCCACGCCCCTCTAAAACGGCTCGTTCTAACACGCCCCCACATATCTACCTCACTATGTTGAAATATTAGCATAATACCGCCCAAATGTGCACGCAAAGAAAGAAGGTGTTGTTTCAGTAACCGCAGTTAGTGTTGAAGCAGCATGTCAGGGAGACGCTGTGTGTTTCTAGGTGAAAACAAAAGCACTTTATTCAAAGTTAGGGTATTGTATAGCCCTTACGAAAATAAACCATGGTTTTATTGTAGTAAAACTGTAGTAACCATGATTTTTTGGGGTATTGATTACCATTATAACCACAGTTTTACTACAAATACCATGGTTACTCTGTTGACAAAACCAGCATATGCTGGTTAGGTATATTTTGACGCTGGGATGCTGGTTTAAGATGGTCCTTTGCTGGTTTATGCTG